GAGCCTGAATGGCGATAATTTTTGAGACAATCCTTGCTGTGAAAAGTCTAGTTTTGGGGATTTTAATTCAAACCCTATATTGCAACCTGCCTCTTGTGCACATGTGGTATGTAAAAATTTCTTACACGCATAATTAGAGCATCGTATACAAGCACCTCCACGCATCTGACATATAGAGCAAATCTATAAAAATAAATTAACTTTAACAAATTGACATACAAAATCCAACAAATTTAGAGATTTGACAAGATAAATACTGCATTCCAACTCTCATCACGAATGTCTTCAATGTCCATGACTAAGAAGACATTTTCTGCGTCATAGAATGAAGTTTCAGGAATAAATGTAGCACATAAAACGTGAACCCAGTTATTCCCGTTAGTTCTTTTCATCGCGTTATTTACACCCTCTGGACGACTGCAAAGAACGCACTTTTTAACCTAGAAAGCATAATATAGATAATTTTCATAAAAAATCTCAGACGAGAAAATTTAGATCCATGTCTTTATAGATTTATTAAATGCACACTTTAATTGCTCTGCGAACTCTTCCATTAAGACATGGGTCACAGCGCCAGCTTCTTCCCATTGGTTTACGGTTGGATATTCCATAGCAATCTAAAGCAAACGCATATTCAATTAACATACGCGGATTATTCATTCGACAAACTATAGTAATTATAATACTAAAACATTACAACTAACCTGTGTGAACACATATTTGACAACCAGCACAAACTAGAAGTGGATATTGTGAATCTAATGGATCATCAAATCCACCACAGATTTTACATGGATCGTAAGGTACTGGTGTTCCTGGAGGCGACGGAGGTTCCGATGTTCTATCAGTGTCTTCAGACGTATCATCTGATGATTCTGATTGAGATGAATGGCGTTTTTGAAGTGGTAGACTAGGTGTTTCGGGAGGTGATGGTGGTTCTTGTGTCTCACTTTCAGTGTCTGGAGCTGAAGACAAATAATTTTCTGAAATTTCAGAAAGTGAAGAACTACTTGACTTTTTTGGAGATTGAGAGTCGCGAGAAGAACGAACTCTCTTAACTATTGGCCGAGATTCCAAGTCAGAATTTGAAGATGAGACTGAATCCTCTCCGGATTTATGTGAACTTAATCGCCGCCTTCTCACACCTAATTTAACCTCTGATTCTGAAGATGAAGAACTAGTCGCCTCTGCGTAATTGGTCTGTTTTTCACGTAATGACGTCCTCCGAGATCTCCTCACACCTTGCTGAGAACCAGAATCCGACGAGGTGTCAGGGTGTGTTCGTGACTGTTTTGGGGATTGCCGATTTTGTTGCATTATTACAGACGAGTCCGAAACATCAGTTGAATTATTTTCTGAGAATTTGGAAGAAATTGATGCTATCATTCTAATATTTTTATTAATTACTTTTGAAATTGTATACGTTATTTTCTATCAAGAAAAAAAAAAAAAAAAAAAAAAAGTAAAAAAAAAAAAAGTAAAAAGAAGTGATTTTCGAAAATTCATTAATCAATACCGGTAAATCGACATGTGACACTAATAAACTCAAAATTGTTGGAGTAACTTCTAGCTGGAGGTGACAACATATTCGGCCTTTATTAACTTCCAACACTATTTCAGTGTTATTTACATCTCTGTAATGGGCCTAGATCTTGACGCTTGCATTTCTCAGCTACTTCAAAAAAAATTTCTCGAGTAATTTTACTATATTAATCACTAAATTCTAATCCTCATACAAACCCTAATCCTACATAAATAACCTTTAAAGGATTTTATCGCATATCACATGAGCGTGAATTTTTGTTAGATGACCCTCCTTAAAATAACACGTGATCTGAGAATTTTTTTTAATGACTTGATATGCTTCGTACTGGACGATTAACCAAAAAGCTATAATACTACACTAATTAATATTACACTAATTAATATTATTATCATAAGATATTCAACTTTATTATTCAATCAATACAATTCACATAGCTATAAAGCTAAAGCTGTTTATATTTAACTCTTCAAAGTTCCAGTATAATTTTTTATTACGGAACTTTATAAAAAATAATGTATTTTGTCCTATAAAAAAAATCGAAGCAATTAAACGATATGTAACAAAATAGATTGAACAAGTAATAAATATATATATACCTTTCTCTCGATAGACATCTGTTGAGAAGGACCATCTCTATCGTTTTCAGGAGCAGCATCAAATACGTTGAAGAATCTTTGCCCATTAACACCAACTTCTAGGATCGATGCCATATTACCACAACGGTAGCAATAGTTCGGAGCTGACCAAACAGTTGACAAACGATCATCATAAAGAACCTATAGTTATCATGATAATAAGATGATAATATACATTAAATATTAAAACATCTATTTTTTATATTTTGATCTACTTGCCTGAAATCCTTCCATGCATAGCTGGTGCGCACGTAGAATATGTTCCATTTGATTTATCTCGAGAAATTTTTTGACAACTTGTCCACCAAAGGTATATCCAGCACCTCTAAAATAATGGTACCATATTTTGGAAATAACAAATGCAAATACAATAAAATCAATGTCAGAAGTGTAAGATA